ACCCCAGAAAATTCCCCTAAAGCATCTGAGGTTTAAGGTGTTCTCATAGAGCTGCTTGGTCACAAGGTTAACCTTTTCTTTCTCTATTGAAAGAATGGATCTTGCATTGAGTATGTTTATTGTTATTTGCTATGCTTTTTCATGTAGCAGAGTCACAGAGTCCAATCTTTCGTTGTTTAACTTTTATGTAGTCTGCGGGAGCATGTTCTCAACTTCTTTTTGGGTCACTCTTGGAAATAAACTACCTTATAGTCTATAAAGCTAGAAGACAATTGAATCTTTGACCGTTATTATAGTTTTCCCTTGATATGGGATCTCCGTGGAATTGCAAAATTGCATAGCATTATGGACAATTTATGTCAAAAGTCATTCCCCAATTTCTGTACCATGTTAATCTATTCCATTTCCTGATAGTAGTAGGTATTTGAAGGTTGGAATGGATGTTTGTGTCGTGCGTAGGATTGAGTAACTTGAATTTCACCATGTGAATAAGTTATGTGTTTTATCTGAGCCTTAAGAAATCTTCAGCTGTAGTTTCCTCTTAATTTGATTAGATGAAATGATCTCCTCCTTTTCCTTCTTTGAGTGCAGTGGACACTTAATTTCCTTTGTTTCCTTGATCAGTCCTCTTTTGGCTAAGTTGTTCCTCGTTGGTAGTCTGTCAATAACCATTCTAAATGCTAAGGCTGACACCTTCAGAGGCACTGAAGAATTCCACACCTGCTTAAAATACCCAGTAGCATTCGTTCTGGATTCACCATTTAGTTTTTTGAGGGCTGATTTCATTGAATAATGTCCATTTTTTTCCCATCTCCAGCACCAGCTATCTTCAACTCCTTTTTGAATAATTACTGATTGCCGAAGCTTATGCATCTCCTGTACAATTTCTAGTTCCCATACAAATAACTCCCTTTGCCAATTCCAACTCCATTGCCATACCCCTTCCTTCCAACTCTCTAAATCCATCACTTTTTCCATTTTATCCATGGTTAAGCTAAACAACCTAGGAAATTCTTCTTTCAATTTTACCTCCTCTACCCACACATCCTCCCAAAACAGAGTATCTTTGCCCTCCTCAATCACTGTCCTAAAACCATCCTTTAACCCCAGCCATCAACAGCAGTACTCTCCCTTTCAATACTCCATAACCAGCCATCCTGTAAAAATTTGTTTTGTAATTTGTTCCTTGTTATGATTTAGTAACTTTTGACTCTGAATATTTATTCCTCCATTCTAGTCTTCAATTTCTAATTTCTCTCTTTATTCCCCAATTCTAGGCCAAAACTTAGACTTAATATTCTTATTTCTACTTTGTCCAAAGTCAATAACCATGTTGTCAAATTGCAGTAGGATTCTGGACAAGCAAATCTGTGTCAAATTATGGAATAATCTTCTCCCTTCACAAGTCAATTGTTTTGGGTGGCGTTTGCTGCTAAATGGGCTTCCCACCAAAGATGCTTTGCTTGGTAGGGGAATCCAACTAGAAAACAATGCAATGCTGTGTTCCTTGTGTTCAGAGGAGTTTGAATGTGTGGATCACATATTTGTCAAATGTGCAAAAATCCAAAAGCTGTGGAAGAGATGTTATGGTTGGTGGGGTTTAAATTTCATTGCCCCAGTTCTGCCCATCAGTTATGTGAAAGTCATTGTGCAGGTGTTCATAAGCATATCAAACCAGAGGTATGGTCCTTTATATTTTTTGTGGCTGCCTGGTCAATATGGACCATGAGAAATTCTATGTTGCACAACTTTGCTTCATGGGGTGAGTACTTTTTGAAATGATTTGTATGAGGTCTTTCATTTGGCCCCATGGGAAGATAGAAGGCAGTGTTTTCGCAGTTCACCGTTGATGCTTGATTCCTTGATGTGGCGGATGAAGTCCTGCTACAACTTTTAGATTCTGTGAGCATGATGGTAAGTTTTTATTTCAAATCTTGTAACATTAAGGTGTTTAAAACTCAGCATACATACCTCCCAAGCGATATAACCTACAAAATTAAAATTACAAAAACAAAAAATTATGATTAATAGGGTAAAAGAGAATGATATAATCGTATTTAAGTTGCTATACAAGTTCTCATTTAAAAAAAAAAAAATTTTTCTGCTATACAAATTAAGTTGAATACAAGTAACAAATTCAAAGATAAATATAAGGAGTGTGGGAAAAGATCTGCAATAACAATTACCAAAAGCTAATGAGTTCTTAGGTTAATTAATTAAAGATTTAGAAGTTGAAATCTTACAATGTTAAGGATGTGGGCTCTACTTTCACACATAGTGGGGTTTTCTTAAAAAGTGTAGTTGTATAGTGTACTTTACTATTGCTATTTGTGCTATAAACGTTTCGTAATACATTAAAAAAATGCCCATTACATAAAAGTATGGGCAAAAATCACAAACCCCAACATCCCAACATCGAACGTGGGTATAGAGTAAATATGCATGTGCATGGCATGGAAAAATTTGCCCTTGCCAACCCTATAAATACATGAATTTTATTCAGCTTCAACATCAACAATACAACTTCAAAAATATAGAAGGATGGAGAAAGGAAATGGTTTGAGAGGATTTTTAGCAGTGCTGATACTTTTAGCACTGCAAGTGGTACTCCCTGTAGCGCAAGAGGAAGATATTACTGTGCTTCCTGCGGTAACCGCCCCTTCCCCAGAAACAGAACCGGTTCCTGAAGTCCCTCCGCCCGTCCCTGGAACCCCATTACTACCTCCACAATCTCCTTTCATCCCGCCTGAAATCTCTCCAGCTCCAAGAACTCATTCTCTTCCATCAATTCTCATTCCACCACCAACCCCCTCTCCTCAGCCAGTCCTTACCCCTACACCAGCCCCTTCAGCTCCCAAAAATACTCCTGTCTCGCCGACCTATCCGATTCCAAAAAGGCCTTCACACCCTATAATCCTTTCTCCTCCAGCAACCCCTTTGAATCAAGTGATTCCACCACCTTCACAAGAAATAACTTGCGAACTAATGTGTGCTATGCGTTGCCCAACATTCCCTTTGTTTTATAGATTTTCATGTTTGAGAATCTGTACAATAAGCTGCGGGTTTTCTGATGCATCCGACTGCACAAATCATTGTGCACAAACCATGCCTCCCAGTTTAGTCTTCGGTATAAATTCGATCCCCAGATTAATCTACTCCCCTTTTCTTTAATGCTTCTCCTATATCTACGAAGTTTCTTTACTTTTTATTTTTAGCATTGACATAATATTAGTTTGGATGTTTCAGACAATGAGAAGATGGAAAGCTACATCAATTACTGCTATACCAAGTGCACGAAGCGTTAAGTGCCCTATGCTATACACTACAAAGGATGGAAATAAATGTGTAATATGTAAGGAAAAATAAAAGTAAAAGGTGATTAGTATCGTATATTACTTGTCTCAACAATGATGTACGAGAAGCTTCTAACTTTTTTTTTTATGAGAAATATAATTTTATTAATGTATGAAAATTATAAAAGTTACAGGACCAATCCGAATAGGTTTATACTCTAGAGGTATTACATTCATAAGATGCATGAAAATACAAAATTAAATAATTTAATGCATACATGAATATCATAGCCAAACTTAAATTCAAGATTTAGCAGTTAAGTATCATTTCAGCATAATCCATCTAAACAAAAGATAAATTGGTTGTGGTAGAAAATTTTGGCTAGGAAACCATCCCCAACCATGCATTGAATAGCTAAAACAAACACGGCAACTGATTTGAGTTCAACCAATATAGTGTTCGAGTTGCCATCCTCCTTCGATAAAGAGTGAATCTCGATAAAAAGTGAATCCCAATAAAAAGTATTGAGAAAATCAAGGTAGAAACTTTTAAAAAAGAGGGAAAAATCTCCACAAGAGAGGGAAAACCCTCACAAAAGAGGAGAACTCTCACATTTAACCATGCACCCTAACTGCTAAGGGGGAGAGAGATAACAGCAGCTAGGCAGAAGAAGAAAATAAGAAAAAGAGGGAAAAATTAAGGTGAGGGAAGGGAGAGGGTGACTAGGGTTTTTTCTTCCAAAGCTTTTAACTTTTAATTATGATTTAATTAATAAATTAGGTCCACAGTTTTTCAGTTGCTACTAATTGTGTGCTTGCCTCATCCATTTCAAAATAATGACCATGCAATTTATAATTAATCTTAAAACCGAATGGGAAAAACCAATTATATAACTATACATTATATTGTAAATTTACAACTTAGCATTTTAACTATATTATTTTCATAAATAGTTTGAGGAAGCTTCATACTCCTATTAATTTGGTTCTTTTGAATATATTCCATATATGGCCTCATTTTCAAATTCTTGAAAAGGATAGAGAAGTTGCCTTTAAGCTTGATTTCCCCCTGCATCAATCCATCCTACCTTGTTTCTCGATTTCTCAATTAAAGAAGAATCAAGAGCTACGTACATGAACAAAACATAGCTTCTGTTCTATTCTTTTAATTGATTTTTACGCTAGTTGCCTCTACCCATGCTTGACAGATTAATGGTGGAAAGAGTACGTTAGTCGGCTGCTATACTAATAAGGGTCGGCACTCATCCAACTCTTTTCCTAAAGATGGCACCGGGGCAAATCTCTAAGGCAAAATACCCAAATTCACCCACAAAATATAGTGATAGGGACAAATCCACTCCCGAACAAAAGACGGGGATAATTCCACTCATAAAGTTTTTGACTTGGATAAATCACTATAAATTTAACGTGTGATATCATTTAACATCAGCAATCCGTTAATTCGTTAACGTCAGATAACGTCAAATTAAAGATTGCTGATGTTAAATGACGTTACACATTAAATTTGGGGTGATTTATCCAAGTTAAAAATTTTATGGGTGGATTTGTCTCCGTTTTTTATTCGGGGGTGAATCCGTCCCTACCAGGCTACCACTATACTTTGGAGGTAGATTTGGGTATTCTACCAATCTCCAATATACATACATATATAGTAGAGATTTATTTACACATGAATCTTACACACTACATTTACACAAAATCTCAAATATTATTTCTTCACTTTCAATAGTTGTGATTGATTTACATTTACTAAAAATAACTATTTTTTTCATCTAAAAAGTCGTAATAAATCTTATGAAAGTAGAAAAATAAATAATTGAAATTTTATGTAATTGTAGTATATAAAATTTGTGTTTAAGTAGATCCCTTCTCATATTATATATATATATATATATATATATTTCCAATTTTAATTTTCCATGATGCTTGATGAAAAGCAATTTGTCACATGAGAGGGAATTTTTTGTTTACTTGCATGTGACATTTTTTTTAAAGTGTTTAATTTTAGAAAAATGATTAGTATACCATCCAACTTTACACACTCATCTACATCTATTGATTCAATAATTAAAATCTAAAGTTTTAAGTGTTATTGCCTCTTATTCAAATTTGAAACAAAAATAATTAGTACATCATTTGATTTAATACACTTATCAATACTTACTCGTTCAATTATTAAAATCTGTAATTAAAAATTTTCTCACTTAAATTTAAATTTAAAAATAATAATTCCTTAATAAATATATTATTGAATTTATTAAACTCAAAGGTGTATCAATCATTGTTTAATTTTAAAATAATAATTTTTTAAGGTGTATATTGTAAACTGTATTGAACTAGAAGGTTTCTGTATCAATGTCATTATTTTTATTTGCATTACTTCATGTTTTTCTTTTTTTTTAAAAAAAATAAAGAAAGTTTTTTCTTTTCTTTTTTTACATTAATTGTTAGTTATTTCACGTTACAAAGGTTTTTGAGGTTAGTAGTTACAAGTTTGGTCAAGCCTGAATAATTAGCTAAAAATCAATATATTGTTTGTTTAGCTGCAAAGTTTTGATCATGAAATATAGTAAATCTACATTCTAGACACAATCTCATTGCTCAATTATTCTTATTCATGAAACATATATTATGCTTGCATGGCAAGAACTAAGATTGCAATTTCATGTTGCATAACTTGGAGCAGCCTTTAACACAACGTTTCACTTTCTCCGGATCTGCAACGTAAGTCAAAAAAATGTATAGATTATACATATGAATTTTGAGACATACCCATGAAAATTATAAAAGAAATATTGGACAAATTCCCTAAGAAGAAGTTCTTTTTTCCTTACCAGATCCGACGTCTGTGCATCTGAATCTAGCACAAGTGCAATTGCAAAGATTACCTGTGATTGACTTGGAATGCTAGCATTTACCAATGCATAGGGTGGCTCACCAAAGGGCTCGAATAACATTGCACTTTGGCCGGATAGCATTCTTCAACACATTTTTCCAAGACCGACGGGCTCTCCATTTCCCCTTTGGCAGCTATAGACATGAAAATTAGCATTTCTGCCATGACGAGCTCCTGCCTCCATAGCTTATATTCCTCTCTGCTAACTCTAATTCTTTTTTTTTTTTTTATCTTGGTTGCACAATGAAGACAATCATCTCATATTCTTTATCCCACCTCATCAGCATGTCATGTAAGTTGAACTCAGAACTTATTACTTTCAATGAAAGGAGAAAATCACTAAACTACTTAAATCGTTGATCTACCAACTTTACTTTTAATGTGTATAACTAGCCTTTTTATAGTAGCTTTTTACATGACTCTACACTAAAACATTTATTAAGCGCTTATCTAGTGCCTTAGAAATGATGCCTCCAAATTGCATATTACTAATCTTTTTCCATTTAAAAATAATGATGACAAGGATAAATTTAAAGGGGTGTGGTTAGGCAATTACCCACCACTATATTTGTTAAGGTCACTAATTTTTCATTAATTTTATCTTATTTTTTACTATTAAAAAAGCTTATTATTGATAAAATAGTTAATATTTATTAGTTAATAGATTAAAATTAATTTATAAACAAATATTTTTAAATATTATAATTAATTGTTTGATAAAAATTATAAACTGATAAAATTACAGATAAAATTAATGACAAATTGGTGGTCATAACATCACTTGTGTGGTTATGGCAATATATTAATCTGTTAAAACTACACAATATTGTTTAAAAAAATGTTGATTTTATTTGATTTGACCATTAAAGACAACTAATAACTGAGAGAACATCTGATATTTATGGCTTAATAAATTGAAATCAGCTTATAGCTAATATTTTCAAAAATTATAATCAACTATTTAAGAAAAAGATACAAATTTCAGTCAAACTAAACAAAGTTTGTGTGGCTATAACCACACTGAATTTTAAGGACCAAATTTATGACGGTTAAATTTACAAATATCAGTGAACTATTTAAGAAAAAAAACGACAAATATTAGTCAAACAAAACAAAGTTTTAATTTTGAACATTTTTAGTATTTGAACTATTTTTTTATACTTTTTTGGTTCATAAACTATGAAAATGCACTTTTTAGTCCTTTTATTAGTTTATTGGTTAATTTTGTCCATATATTCATAAATAAGTTCAAGATCTAAAAATGTACTTATATTATAAGTTGAAGGATTAAAAATGTACATAACTGGACCGCTTAATGGACTAACTGATAAAATGATTAAAAATGTATATTTTTCATATTGTAAAGACAAAAAAAAAAATGCAAAAAATAATTTAAAAACTAAAAATATTTTAAATGTGTTATCTCAAAAAATCTCCTTGACACGTGGCAGATGAAATGGCGTGCCACTTGCTTTGCTCAAAACAAGAAAGATTTCTCCGACGACCCTCTCTTCTTTCCAAGCGTGGAACTCAACTT